TGAGACACATCCATGGAACAGGGGGAGGATTATGATGAAGAGGACTTCTAGAAACTTTTTACACTATGTAAATGTATACTGATTCAATTTTTTTTTTTTTTTTGAGACAGAGCCTCAAGCTGTCATCCTGGGTAGAGTGCCATGGCATTACAGCTCACAGCTCCAACTCCTGGGCCACGCGATTTTCCTGCCTCTGCCTCCCAAGTAGCTGCGACTACAGGTGCCCACCACAATGCCCGGCAATTTTTTGGTTGGAGTCGTCACTGTTGTTTGGAGGGTCCTGGCTGGATTTGAACCGGCCAGCTCAGATTTATGTAGCTGGTGCCTTAGCTGCTTGAACCACAGGCACCAAGCCCTGATTCAATTTTTATTCATGTATTACTGTGTACATACAATTTAAACTAAAAAATGATAACAATACAAAAAATTCCTTTAAGGAAAAATTTTTAAGCAATCAAATCCATACATGGGCTATTTTTTTCTCATGATCATTTCTGAGTTTGAATTTTAAATAATATTTGCTTTATGATTTTTACATATTTGACTACAAATTGTCATACATTCGTCTAACTTACTTCTTTCTGGAATCTCTCTAATGTAAGCTTTCTCTGCATTTGGTCTTGTACCCAAGGATCAGCTGCATATTCAGATTCTAGGAGAGAAGTCCAACAATTTGCTGCATCTCTCTTTGTCTTTGTAAGAACAATACGAACCATTTTTCGATCCTCTAAAGAAAAAAAAAATCACAGAATTCAACATTGTGCTTCTCAAAAACCTTTAGGTAATCTTGACATACCATTGTTTTCACCACATTTCAATTATTATCTTTCAAAGCCATAAAAACAAAATTATGTAATAAAAAAGGCAGAAAAGATACTAAGTTCCAAGATAATATTAATTTTAAAAAAGATTCTATGAATTATTTTAGTTACCCTTACCCAAAGTCCACGTTCCCTCATCAGCTATTGTAGAATCAAAAAGTTTGCCCTGGTGGGGGGGGAAATAGAAGATGTTTATTTTATAACAAAAATAGAAACTAAAAATGTACTATTTCATCAATTTGTATAAAGCTTTCATTATTAGGATTTACCTAATTTCCTATCTAATCCACATCCTATACCATTTCATCACATTTATAGGTGCTCAATTCTAAATTTCCTCCTAATGAAATGAAACCTAGTTTACATTCCGTGTGGTATTTATTATGATAAAACAGACATCAGGGAACCTTAATTTTTAGAAGATAAAGAAATAGTACTGATCACTGATTAACTTAATGAGAAATTAATATCTGAAAGGCTTTGATTCTACCAATTCAAAGGAACTAGAAGGGCTCTCCAGCTAAAACGAATAAATGCTACTTTGGCCGGGCACGGTGGCTCACACTTGTAATACCAGTACTCTGGGAGGCCAGGGCAGGTGGATTACTTGCACTCAAAGAGTTTGAGACCAGCCTGAGCAAAAAGAGACTCAGTCTCTACTAAAAATAGAAACACTGAGGCAAGAGGATCG